GCTCCGCTTAAGCCGGGACCAGTTGATGGGGGACCGGCTGATGGGATTTTGCGTCTCCCGAGGTCTGTGTGGATTCGGGAGCAAATGTTGGATGATTCCTTGGTAACGTTACGAAAGCGATCGGAAAAGGCGAGTAGGGGACTCGGCGCGGGTGGTGCGCCGGAATCCGCTCTCCGAGATGGGTTGCTGATGTGGAGGGAAGGGATACAGGAACGCTGGCGTCTGGTTGTACCGGCATCATTGCGGTACAAATTGATCAGGACTCTGCATTGTGACACACTTTTACATCTGGGGGTGCAGAAGACCCTATTGACGCTGCAGCGAGACTATTATTGGCACGGCATGTCGACAGATGTCGTCGGTCACGTTCGCGCGTGTCCCGATTGTGCCCGCCGGAAGCCACCTAAACATCCATATGTGCCGCCGATACAATCTATTCAGGTATCTCGGGTTAATGAATTGGTGGCGTTAGATATTTTGGGACCCTTTCCGCCATCCGCTAGGGGAAATAAGTATTTGCTAGTGGGGGTGGAGTACCTCTCCCGCTGGCCGATGGCCTGGCCTTTGCCGGACCAGTCAGCGGCGTCTATCACAGACGCATTTCTATTTGGGTATGTTATGGACAAGGGGGCGCCGGAGAGGCTCCTTACAGACCAAGGCCGGAATTTTTCGTCTAAATTGTTGGGGGAGGTGTGTGCGGCTCTTGGAACTAAAAAGATACGGACATCCCCCTATCACCCACAAACGGATGGTATGGTGGAACGGTTAAATCGGACCCTGTCCGCCATGCTGTGTCATACGGTCAGTGAAAAACAATCAGATTGGGATTTGCATATCCCTGGGGTGCTTTCGGCGTATCGCATGACGCCGCACGCGGCTACTGGATATTCGCCGTTCTTTCTTATGTACGGCCGTGAAAACGTGCCGCCAATCAATGAGCAGTTGGGAACCGGAGCGAGGGGACCTGTTAAACCTCTTCCTGATTATATTCAGGACAACGTTCGCCGTGTCACTGAGGCGAGGGAAGGAGCCCGCGTGGCTACGGCCAAAGCCCAGGCCCGGAACGAGCGGTGTGCTCGACGTTCAAAGGGGGAGTGCCCCTGGAAAACGGGGGACCTGGCCTGGCTTCATTGCCCACAGGTGCGGCCAGGTACCTCTCCTAAATTACATAAACCATGGCAAGGACCGGTCCGCCTCATCGCGGTTCCCAACCCACAGTCGGCGCGTGTTCGGGTTGGTTCGCGGCGCTGGTTCGTACATACATCTCGGTTGAAGCCGTACATTGCCTCGCGACCTGATGCGTCATCTCCTGAGGTTGCCTTGCCGGGGTCTGTTGCTGCCGACTCGCCCCTGCCTGTGCCTGCTGACCTTGCAAGAGCGCCTGTCGTACCCCTTACAGACAAGCCGGCCGTGACGCCGCAGGAGGGAGGACGCTCCGCTCGCGGGGTGCCGACCGGGGCCGCGGAATCTCCGGGACCTGCAACCCTTCCTGCCCCGCCACGGACGAGATTACGGGACGCCTCTGAACGGGACCGGGACGGTGGCAGGCCTCCAATGGCGACGGACGAACTTGCTCCTGTCGCCCTTAAAACCCTGCCACGCTCCCGCTCGGCGGGAGGGCCGCCGACCGTCCGGGACGGTCCGGCTACCCGTACTCGCTCGAAATCCCTCACATTTCGTTAACTTGTGTTGTGTTCTTGTTATATTGTTGTTGTATGCTTCGTGTCCTTTAATGTATTGGTCTTTTACGCTCGCATTACTTGTTAGGTTGTTGTTCAGCCGAGGTCGGCTGGATTTTCTCTACGGGGGAGGGTGATGTAATGCGGGCGTGAACGACCTCCCGGAGGTGACGTCATGAGGGGAGGAGTTAGGTCACGTGGGGGAGAGGAGTCAGGTCTATAGGGAGAGAAACCGGAAGAGGAGGGGAGTGACGGGAGACTAAGAACGAGGTAGGCCACGTAGGGCGAGAGCGGGAGAGTGGCGAGATCGCCACGTATGCGGGGAACGAGGTTCGGCACCGTCGGCCAACGGTGACCGACCCGGAGCAGCGAGGAGGCTGCAGGTGGCAGCGGGGGTCTGCACACGGAGTTGGCAGCGGGGGTCTGCATACGGAGTTGGCAGCGGGAGTCTGCACACGGAGTTAGCAGCGAGTCTGCAAGGAGAGGAAGGAGGCTACAATAGTGATAGCAGCCGGGGGCTGCAAGCAGAGTATCTCTAAGAGAGTGCCGTGAGGGTAATTACGAAGAACCCAAATAAAGGACACGGAGTCAGAGAGAAGCGTCCGAGTCTTTTATTACACAGGTAACGAGCTGAGATTAGGAGCACACTCCTAAAGGGAGTGCTCCTAATCTCAGCTTGTTACCTGTATAAAAGACACCTGTTCACAGAAGCAATCAATCAATCAGATTCCAAACTCTCCACCATGGCCAAGACCAAAGAGCTCTCCAAGGATGTCAGGGACAAGATTGTAGACCTACAAAAGGCTGGAATGGGCTACAAGACCATCGCCAAGCAGCTTGGTGAGAAGGTGACAACAGTTGGTGCGATTATTCGCAAATGGAAGAAACACAAAAGATCTATCAATCTCCCTCAGCCTGGGGCTCCATGCAAGATCTCACCTCGTGGAGTTGCAATGATCATGAAAACGGTGAGGAATTAGCCCAGAACTACACGGGAGGATCTTGTCAATGATCTCAAGGCAGCTGGGACCATAGTCACCAAGAAAACTGTTGGTAACACACTACGCCGTGAAGGACTGAAATTATGCAGCGCCCGCAAAGTCCCCCTGCTCAAGAAAGCACATATACATGCCTGTCTGAAGTTTGCCAATGAACATCTGAATGATTCAGAGGACAACTGGGTGAAAGTGTTGTGGTCAGATGAGACCAAAATGGAGCTCTTCGGCATCAACTCAACTCGCCGTGTTTGGAGGAGGAGAAATGCTGCCTGTGACCCCAAGAACACCATCCCCACCGTCAAACATGGAGGTGGAAACATTATGCTTTGGGGGTGTTTTTCTGCTAAGGGGACAGGACAATGTCACCGCATCAAAGAGACGATGGACGGGGCCATGTCCCATCAAATCTTGGGTGAGAACCTCCTTCCCTAAGCCAGGGCATTGAAAATGGGTCGTGGATGGGTATTCCAGCATGACACTGACCCAAAACACACGGCCAAGGCAACAAAGGAGTGGCTCAAGAAGAAGCACATTAAGGTCCTGGAGTGGCCTAGCCAGTCTCCAGACCTTAATCCCATAGAAAATCTGTGGAGGGAGCTGAAGGTTCGAGTTGCCAAACGTCAGCCTCGAAACCTTAATGACTTGGAGAAGATCTGCAAAGAGGAGTGGGACAAAATCCCTCATGAGATGTGTGCAAACCTGGTGGCCAACTACAAGAAACGTCTGACCTTTGTGATTGCCAACAAGGGTTTTGCCACCAAGTACTAAGTCATGTTTTGCAGAGGGGTCAAATACTTATTTCTCTCATTAAAATGCAAATCAATTTATAACATTTTTGACATGCGTTTTTCTGGATTTTGTTGTTGTTATTCTGTGTCTCACTGTTCAAATAAACCTACCATTAAAATGATAGACTGATCATTTCTTTGTCAGTGGGCAAACGTACAAAATCATCAGGGGATCAAATACTTTTTTCCCTCACTGTATAGAGGAATGTCCACCCTTCATGGTGGCAGGAGCCAGAGCTGGTCCACCGGACCTCCTGAATACCACAGAGATCCAGGCAGTACCGGTCCGACAGAGGAGTGGCAGCCTCTCCTCCGCAGTGAGCGTTTGAACATTCCACATGGCCACCCGTGGTGGTTCTTTGTTGTTTCTGGAGGAGCCCCGAGGGTAAGGATTCAGTCTCCTGGCTTTGCCAAATGGGGTTTGGCCAGGAGACATCATAGACACCTGTCCCCCCGGGGCCTCCAGCACAAGCTTAGTAGAACAAATTTATTGTGGTTTTGTGGTAATTAATTTAAGGTGGAGGTGTTACCAGCCCCCCACACCCGTCCAGAGCCTCCATTTGGCCGCTGTGGTGGTTACAAACGCCATGAGGGCAATGACCAATCTAAGGTGGCCCTCACACCACGGCACTTACCACCACAGCGTTGCCATCCGGCACCAACGAGGAGGTAGGGGGTTGTTTTTGCCAGACAACATTCACACACAAATATCCATTCACACACACACACACGTGCATTCACACACGCGCGCGTGCTCGCATACAATGTGCGTAACCAATACAAATATCTCCCGTATTGCCTGACCAGACTGCTGGGGCAAGTGCTGTTAGCGAGTAGCACCTACGAAGGTCGGCACGGCACACGAGGGCGTGGGTTGCTAGCACAGCCATGCACGGCAACCTTTGTCTCCCCAGTGAAGATGTTTAATACACATCGCAACAGGTACTTAATTTACGGCTGAGTAGACCTAGGGAAGGCCCAGGACCGGTTCAGATAATCGTCACTGGTGTTGGCCGTGAGCGGGAATCAAACTCAGGCCGCGCAGCGCGCTAACCACTGTGCCACTGCACACCTATACACACATACACACTCATAATCACACACACACACACGTACAACAATAACAACGTCACCAGGGTATGACTCTGCATCACCTCGTGTGAACTCATGACCCCGAGTGACCCTGCCATTACTTTTTATTTACTATTTACTATTTCTTATTATGCCAAGGCAAGGCCCACTGAGCTATGTAGACCTGAGAGAGAGAGAGACACGCACACTCCAAATATACAGCAGGTGTCAGGGTCGCAATCAAACCCTCAACCTCCTGTATACCAGGCGAGGTAGTTAACATCTCATAACTGTGGTGCCCGAGATTAGAATGGCCATGTCAGAGACACTGAGAAGCCTGGGTTCCAATCTGGTGCTTGCTGACAGGAATTGTCTCAACAGCCAATGTAGGCTTTGAATGCGACCCTGCGTGACCTCGTGTGACCCCGCGTGACCCTACGTGACCCCACGTGACCCCGCCTCACCAGACTGGGGATGAATGGAGCGAGGATCCCGCCCAGACGGGAGGACGTGGAGCTCAAGCCCAGGGCGACATTCCTGGGCGGAGGCGAGAAGGATCGTTATAACACAGCTTGTTATCACGCAGCTGCTTATGAATGCGCTACAACACCGCTCGTTATAACAGAGGAGTTATAACAGAGGAGTTATAACAAAGGAGTTATAACACAGGAATTATAACAGCTTGTTATAACGCAGCTTCTTATTAACTCGCTACGATACAGCTCGTTACAACGCAGGTGTTATAACGCAGCTTGTTATACCGCTGCACCTTATGAACTCGCTATAACACAGCTCGTTACAACGCAGGTGTTATAATGCAGCTTGTTAGTGCTAAATAAATTCGTTTTTCAATCTAACACCGGAAGGAGGAGCGTTCCAGACGGCCACAGAAGCGCATCTGATTGCCTCCCAGCCGTGTAATTGCTCACCAGTGTGAGTGCAACTCTCCTGGATAAATTTGTCAAATTATTAAATCGTTATTACGGCACCACGGTAGGGAAATGTTAGCTCCCTCGCCTGGTATACGGGAGGTCGTGGGTTCGATCACGACCATGACGCCTGTTGTATATTTTGGGTTTGCGTGTCTCTCTCCCCGTGGAGTTTTCTCCAAGTCCTCCGGTTTTTCCCTCCACATTTAGAATCGTCATCACGCGTTTAGAATGTTATAAATTTCCACACGATGATGATGATGAGCCACTTCGTTGAGCTATCACTTGCGTTGGCAAGGTGGCTTCTGAAACAGAGCTACGTAGCTCGGTGGGTAGCCTTACCTGGTAAAGTAAAAAAAATATTTTAGTTTTTTTGATGGTTAACCTGATGGAGGTGGGGTAGAGTTCGGAGGTGTAGATGTAGACGATGCTGAAGGCAGCGCTGATGCACAGCTTCCCTGCTAGGGCCAGGTACTGGCGCGCCACTGCGCACCACAAAAAGACAAAGATCCCATGTATCGCCTGAACAGACTGGATGAACAATTGCTGTTAGCGGACACCTATGAATGCCGGCACGGCACACGAGGGAGAGGGTGGCCAGCACCACGCCCGGCCGCTTTTGTGTAATCCAAAGCACTCGTATATCAATTTCCCCATAAGAAATAATGGAAACTCAGATGATTCGTTCCACAACCCAAAAATACTGTATTCATATAAAAATAATTAATACAAAATACCTTTTTATATTTTTATTATTTAAATTTAACATAAAGTAATCAAATTTATGTATTACATTTAATCGTGGCTGGTGTGAGGAAGACGAGAGAGAGGAGAGGAGGAGGGGGCCATTGTTGCAGTACAGTTACTAAAGAACAGTCACTACACTTGGACACAAAATAAAAAATGCTTTACGCACACACACACGTGGTCACAACACTATAGTGAACAGTCTACGCTCGCACGGATGTTGACTCTACGAGTGAGGCACGCCGACTGAGACCGAGCATGGGAGACGATTACCCACAATCCCGCAGCGAGAGAGAGAGAAGAACCATCGGCTCAGTTGTGATCACGTGACGCTCGGCAGACAAAGCGTATACTGTACGCACTGCTCGTATTGCAAGACCTCGCTCGTTTATCAAGTTAAAATTTATCAAAAAATTTGCTCGTCTTGCAAAACACTCGCAGACCAAGTTACTCGCAATCTAAGGTTTTACTGTACTTAATTTGAGGCCGAGTCGATCTAGGGGAGGCCCAGGACTGGTTCAGATAATCATCACCGGTGTCAGCCGTGAACGTGAATCGAACTCGGGATATCACCGGCTTCGTAGTGCAGCCCGCCCCACAGCTCCCCGCCACCACACACACGAGACCAACTCACCCTCGCGCTCACCAGCCTGCGTCACCAGCGCCGCAACGACGATGCACGCGATACCCCCGCAACTCAGGAAGCCCGAGAGACCGCGTCTGCGTCCGCACCTGAGGGAGAGGGGAGACACAAAGCTCAGCCACTTCGAACCACGCAAGCACGGCCAATCACAGCCGCGCAGGCTCAGCCAATCACAGCCACGCAAGGCTCGGCCAATCACAGCCGCGCAGGCTCAGCCACTCCGAACCACGCAAGCACGGCCAATCACAGCCGCGCAGGCTCAGCCAATCACAGCCACGCAAGGCTCGGCCAATCACAGCTGCGCAGGCTCGGCCACTCCCAACCACAGAGGCTCAGCCAATCACAGCCACGCAAGCTCGGCCAATCACAGCCACGCAGGCTCAGCCAATCACAGCCCTGCAGGCTCAGCCAATCACAGCCACGCAGGCTCGGCCAATCCCAGCCACGCAAGCTTGGCCACGCCCAACCACGCAAGCTCAGCCAATCACAGCCACGCAAGCTCAGCCAATCACAGCCACGCAGGCTCAGCCAATCCCAGCCACGCAAGCTTGGCCACGCCCAGCCACTCAATCTCAGCCAATCACAGCCCTGCAGGCTCAGCCAATCCCAGCCTTGTGGGTTCACAAATAAAATAATTTTGTATTTAACCAGGTAAGGCCCACTTTACTACGTAGCTCGTTTTCAGAAGTGACCTAGTCACAAGTGATTGCTCAACGAAGTGGCTTATCATCATGTGGAAATGTATTGCAGCCAAATACTATAAATGTGTGATTTTAAACGTGGAGCGAAACACCGGAGGACCCGGAGAAAAATCCACGTGACCACAGGAAGAATATGCAAACACCAAAATTACAGCAGATGTCAGGGTCAGGATCGTACCCACGAACTCCTATATACCAGGCGAGGTAGTTAACGTCTCACCACCGTGATGCCCTAGATTAGAATGGCCATGTCAGAGACACTGAGAAGCCGGGATTCCAATGTGGTGCCCATTAACAGCATGTGTTTCAACAGCCCAAGTGGGCCATTTGGGGGATCTATTTTCCATTTCGTATGTGTACCAATGTGGTGCGGTGCTTCGCGCACTGAACAGAGTTCGATTTCCGCTCATGGCCAGGAACAGTTACAGCGAATATCTAAACCAGTCGTGGGCCTCCTCTAGGACGACTCAGCCTTAAATGTGTATCTGGTGCAGTTTGTGTAAAGATCACCATCATTGGGGAGGCAAAGGCGGCAGGGACGTGGTGCTGGCTACCCACCACCTCGTGTGCAGCTCTGGCCTTCGTAGGTCCTCGCTAACAGCACTTGCTCCAACAGTCGGTTCAGGCTATACAGGAGATATTTGTCTTGTGTGTGTATGTGCGTGGTTATAGTGGTGCGTATGTATATGTAGAGGAGTATTGTGAGCAACCACGAGGGGGCGAACAGAGGGAGGTGCGAGCGAGTTGACAGTTAGGGATCACGTCATGGTGAAGAGGTACCTACGGGAACAAAGGCGGATCCGAGCTATGGGGAGGAGCCGCCAAAGGGGAACTTAAGTGGGACCCCCTGGGGAGCCAGGGCAAGAATCGGCTGCAAGGTGTCTCTCCCTCCTCATCACCGGGCGGTGTTGGATAAACCCCCGCTCCGGGCAGACGAGTTGGAGAGCCCTAAAGGATAGCCGAAGGCAGGACCAGGTACTGTTCAGAGTCCGGGGTAAAGGACCCCGACAGAGAGCACCTACCTCTGGTGTGAGTTAGAGTGTTGACTTCAACAGTGTTTAATAAACGGCAACAGCCCTTACAGCATTCCACGTCCCCGCGTGGTTCTGCGGCACAACATATCTGTAATTGTGTGTGTGTGCGTATAGCGGTGCGTGTGTATATGTACGTGGAAAACATCATGGCACAAAGTGGGGATAACCCTGCTGAGGCTGCGGTGCCTCAAATATTGGAAGAGGTCACCCCCTGTGAGTGGCTGGCTGAGGTGCCATCTGTAGAGGAAGTACTGAGGGCGATCCGGAGTCTGAGACCAGGGAAGGCACCGGGCAGAGATGATCTCCCAAGCGAAATGCTGAGGGAGGGTGGCGTTTGTGCACAGACTGCCCTATATGACATCATAACAACAGTCTGGACCACTGGACGGGTTCCGCAGGACTGGAAGGATGCCCTGGTGGTCCCCCTCTTTAAGAAGGGGGACCGCACAGACTGTAACAACTACAGGGGCATCTCACTCCTCAGTGTGCCGGGTAAGGTCCTGGCAAGGATTATTCAACATCGCCTTGCTAGGCACGCTGAGGAGGGGCTTGCGGAGCCCCAATGCGGTTTCAGGAAAGGGCGGTCCTGCACAGATGCCATATTTTCTGTCCGTCTGCTACAGCAGAGGTGTAGGGAATTCCAAAAAGACCTACATCTCTGCTTTATTGACCTGGTCAAGGCCTATGATACCATCAGTAGGACTGGACTCTGGGTTGTTCTTCGTGCTTTCGGAGTCCCTGACCCTCTGCTCACGATCATTAAGGACCTTCATGATGGTGAGCGGGCCCGGGTAAAACTACGTGGCCGGGAGTCGGAGCCTTTCCCTGTAAACCTTGGGGTGCGACAGGGATGTCCTCTGGCTCCCACATTATTTAACATCTATTTTGACCGCGTAGTTCGTGAAGCCTTCAATAGCTGTACCGGGGGAATTTCCGTTTGGTACAGATATAATGGGAGGCTGATCGACGCCCGGGTGCGATCAAGGGATGGCTCCCTATTGGTCAACCACGTTATGTATGCCGATGATTTGGTAATAGCTGCTCATTCAGAAGAGGAGTTGGAGGCGCTGCTGCTGAGACTGGAGCGTGCCACTAAGAGGTGGGGCCTTACCATCAGCCCCACCAAAACCAAGCACCTGCCTGGGTATTTTGTACCATCGGACACTCCACCCCCACAACTCCCAATTGGTGATGGGGCAGTTGTGGAGAGAGTGGAGAGTTTCCCATACCTGGGCAGTATGCTTATGACCGGCTCCAGTCTATCAGCAGAGGTCTCACTCCGAATCAGTCGAGCGGCAATATCTTTTCATCGGTTGCGTAACGCTATGTGGAAGCTACCTGGTCTGTCGCTCCGCACGAAGCTTCAGGTCTTCTCGGCCACGGTCATTCCCTCCCTTCTCTACGCTTGCGAGACGTGGACCCCCCTGGTGGAGCATCTTCGCCGGTTGGAAACATTTAGGCTGGCCTGCCTACGATCCATCCTGGGTTTAACCAGGCTGGATTGTGTGAGGAGCTCACAAATCCTTGAAAGATCTGGGCAAAGTCCCATCAGTGAGCTCCTCCGGCAGGCAAGGCTGCGTTGGCTGGGTCATGTAGCCCGCATGCCCAGCCACCGCATGCCTAAACAGCTTTTGTTCGGCCGGATCGAGGGGCTAGACGGGCGCGGCACGGGCTGGAGAAGAGATGGAGTGATGTGGTACAGGAGGACGTGGAGCTGAGTGGACTTGCCGATGACTGGTACCAGCGGTGCCAAGATCGGCCTCAGTGGAGGAGGCTCGTGAAGGACGCTACTGGGCAGTTGGAGGCAGTCGCCCTCCAACAACAACGGAGGGCGGAGGAGCGACGCTCACAACAACGAGCGGAGCGCCGGGTGGCTAAAGCACAGCAAGTTGGCACAGTAGGGGGCACAGGTGGTGCATCAGCCAGTCATCTCGGTCATCTCGGTCAGTCGACCCGTGGCACCTGCTGGGTCTGCCCCGTGACCTCCTGCCAGCGGGCTTTCGACACTTCACGTGGCCTCAAGGTGCACTTGGCCTGGCACAAGCATCGTGGTGACGTCACCGCCACTTAGTGGCGAATGGCGGTTGTTGTTGTTGTTGTTGTGTGTGTGTGTGTGGGGAGCGGCAGTGTAGCGATTAGCGCGCCGTGCTAAGAATCCGGCAAACCACCGCTTACGGCCAACACAAGTGACGATTATCTGAATTGGTCCTGGCCTCCCCTAAATCGACTCCGCCTCAAATGAATACCTGGTCCGGTGTGTGAACATCACCGCTGGGGAGACAAAGGCGGCCAGGTGCTCGCTAACAGCACTTGCTCCAACAGCCTCTTAAGGCGAAACAGATGAACCTCCGTCTGTACAGTCATACCTCGGTATACAACTGCTTTGGAATACGTCGAATTTGGTATACGTCGTGTTTTGACGAGAAAAAATGTCTTGGGATACGACGGGCTTGCTAGAACTTGTATGGGTCGGGATGAGTCACCGCGTACCCGCGTATGCCCCACCCCCAATAAAGCTCTAACAAGCCGTAACAGTATTGTGTGAAATGACCAGACAATGTCACACTTCAGGAACATTCTTAGAACAAGGCAAAAACAAACTTCAATGGACAGGTTTTTAGTAAAACTCAAACCCGGTGAGCCTCAACCAGGTCCAAGCCAAGAAAAGAGACAAAAAAGAGAAAAAACCTCAGAATTTCAGCTTCCTGAAGTTTTAATGGAAGGGGACTCTCCTTCCAAAAAATAACATCTCCTCCCCTTCCTCACCACCATCCTCGTAGGCTATCAACTCCTCTCAGCAAGGCAAAGTGATGTTACTTTTTATTTCAATTTATTGTAATTTACTTATGCATTTATTTTAATTTATTTATGTATTTATTTTAATTTCTACATTTATTTTAATTTACGTATGTGTAGGGGATCTGCGAGCCACCCTCACGGACACGCACCACGCAAACACGACTTCACCCGGACCAAGGCGCGCTAGACGGGAATGTGTATTGGAGATGAGTTAAAGGGCGGAATGCGCGGGACAGGGGTCAGGGGTCAAAGGGCAGTGACGTCACCCGGACCAAGGCGCGCCAGACGGGAATGTGTCTTGGGGATGGGTTAAAGGGCGGAATGCGCTGGACAGGGGTCAGGGGTCAAAGGGCAGTGACGTCACCCGGACCAAGGCGTGCCAGACGGGAATGTGTCTTGGGGATGGGTTAAAGGGCGCTGTGGGACCGGGGTTGGTTGTGGAACGAGTGTAGCTGTGCATTGGTGAACTAAAGAAGTGCTTCAAAATATTCTCTTCATATGCATTTTAGTAATAAGTAGTGTCTAAATTGTTTATACAACCCCATTAATGTATAATATGCCATATAAAATACCATTTCTTACACTCTGGAACGGATTATTTCCTTTCCCTTTATTTCTTACAGGAAAAATTCGTTTGGTATCTACGTCATTTTCGGTATAAGTCCTACCACCTTCTGTAACGAATTAACGACGTATACCGAGGTACCACTGTACCTTTATAGACGTGCGTAGATGGGTGTCGTGTATACTATGAGCCGTGTGTACTATGTGCTTGTGTGTACTATGTGTACTGTGTACTGTGTGTACTGTGTGCCGTGTGTACTGTGTGCCGTGTACTGTGTGTACTGTGTCTACTGTGTGCCGTGTGTACTGTGTGTACTATGCGCTGTGTGTACTGCGTGCACTGTGCGTGGTGTGTACCGTGTGTACTGTGTGTACTGTGTGCCGTGCGTACTGTGTGTACCGTGTGTACCGTGTGTACTGTGTGCCGTGTACTGTGTGTACTGTGTGTACTGTGTGCCGTGTGTACTGTGTGTACTGTGTGCCGTGTGTACTGTGTGTACTGTGTGTACTGTGTGTACTGTGTGCCGTGTGTACTGTGTGTACTGTGTGCCGTGTGCCGTGTGTACTGTGTGTACTGTGTGCCGTGTGTACTGTGTGTACTGTGTGCCGTGTGTACTGTGTGTACTGTGTGCCGTGTGTACTGTGTGTACTGTGTGTACTGTGTGCCGTGTGTACTGTGTGTACTGTGTGTACTGTGTGTGCCACGTGCACTGTGCGCGGTGTGTACTGTGTGTACTGTGTGCCGTGTGTACTGTGTGTACTGTGTGTACTGTGTGCCGTGTGGACTGTGTGCTGTGTGTACTGTGTGTACTGTGTGCACTGTGTGTAGTATGTGTCGTGTGTACTGTGTGTACTGCGTGCACTGTGCGTGGTGTGTACTGTGTGCACGATGCACTAGGTGGGTACCAGGAAGCGTTGATGAGAAACAGGGACAGGGGGTACGAGGGCAGCTCCGCCAGCCCGGAGAGCGCCAGCCCCATGTGGACGTCACGGCTGAGGTCTCCCACGCCCAGCGTGAGGCCGTAATACACGAGGCTGCACACAAACCTGCACACACAGCACACACAGCACACACAGCACACACATCACACACGGCACACACGGCACACACGGCACACACGGCACACACAGCACACACAGCACACACAGCACACACATCACACACAGCACACACGGCACACACGGCACACACGGCACACACAGCACACACAGCACACACAGCACACACATCACACACGGCACACACGGCACACACGGCACACACAGCACACACAGCACACACGACACATCGTACACACGGCACATAGTACACACGGCACATCGTACACACGGCACATACTACACACAGCCCGTAGTACACGAGGCTGCACACAAACCTGCACACACATCACACACATCACACACGACACATCGTACACACGACATATCGTACACACGACACATCGTACACACAGCACACACGGCACATAGTACACACGACATATCGTACACACGACACATCGTACACACAGTACACACAGCACACACAGCACACGACACATACTACACACAGCCCGTAGTACACGAGGCTGCACACAAACCTGCACACACAGCACACACGGCGCATCGTACACACGGCATACACAGCACACACATCACACACAGTACACACGGCGCATCGTACACACAGCACATACTACGCACAGCCCGTAGTACACGAGGCTGCACACAAACCTGCATACACAGCACACACAGTACACACAGCACACACGACACATTGTACACACGGCACATACTACACACGGCACATCGTACACACAGCCTGGAGTACATGAGGCTGCACAAGAAACCTGTACACACTGTACACACGACACAGTACACATGGCACACAGTGCACACAGCTTAACACGTAGGCTTTCGTGGCCAATATCCATAATACAGGTTTTTTTTGGGTTAGATCGCGTAATTACAACTAGCTTCATCAGGCGACAGCCACATCTGTGGATAAATCCCCTTGTTTCGTTCCTTCTGCAGACGTAGATGCCACTGGTTCGTCACATTCTGAAGATGCCATTGGTTCTTCATGTTCTGCAGATGTAGATGCCACCGGTTCTTCACGTTCTGCAGATGTAGATGCCACTGGTTCTTCACGCTCTGCAGACGTAGATACCACTGGTTCTTCACGTTCTGCAGATGTAGATTCCATTAGTTCTTCACGTTCTGCAGATGTAGATGCCACTGGTTCTTCACGTTCTGCAGATGTAGATGCCACCAGTTCTTCACGTTCTGCAGATGTAGATACCACTGGTTCTTCACGTTCTGCAGACGTAGATGCCACTGGTTCTTCACGCTCTGCAGACGTATATACCACTGGTTCGTCACGTTCTGCAGATGTAGATGCCATTGGTTCTTCACGTTCTGCAGATGTAGATGCCACTGATTCTTCACGTTCTGCAGATGTAGATGCCATTGGTTCTTCACGTTCTGCAGATGTAGATGCCATTGGTTCTTCACGTTCTGCAGATTTAGATGCCACTGATTCTTCACGTTTTGCAGATGTAGATGCCACTGGTTCTTCACGTTCTGTAGATGCCACTGGTTCTTCACGTTCTGCAGATATAGATGCCACTGGTTATTCACGTTCTGCAGATGTAGATGCCATTGGTTCTTCACGTTCTGCAGATTTAGATGCCACTGATTCTTCACGTTTTGCAGATGTAGATGCCACTGGTTCTTCACGTTCTGTAGATGCCACTGGTTCTTCACGTTCTGCAGATATAGATGCCACTGGTTCTTCACGATCTGCAGATGTAGATGCCACTGGTTCTTCACGTTCTGTAGATGTAGATGCCACTGGTTCTCCACGTTTTGCAGATGTAGATGCCATTGGTTCTTCACGTTCTGCAGATGTAGATGCCATTGGTTCTTCACGTTCTGCAGATTTAGATGCCACTGATTCTTCACGTTTTGCAGATGTAGATGCCACTGGTTCTTCACGTTCTGTAGATGCCACTGGTTCTTCACGTTCTGCAGATATAGATGCCACTGGTTCTTCACGATCTGCAGATGTAGATGCCACTGGTTCTTCACGTTCTGTAGATGTAGATGCCACTGGTTCTCCACGTTTTGCAGATGTAGATGCCATTGGTTCTTCACGTTCTGCAGATTTAGATGCCACTGGTTCTTCACGTTCTGTAGATGTAGATGCCATTGGTTCTTCACGTTCTGCAGATTTAGATGCCACTGGTTCTTCACATTTTGCAGATGTAGATGCGACTGGTTCTTCACGTTCTGTAGATGCCACTGGTTCTTCACGTTCTGCAGATATAGATGCCACTGGTTCTTCACGATCTGCAGATGTAGATGCCATTGGTTCTTCACGTTCTGTAGATGTAGATGCCATTGGTTCTTCACGTTCTGCAGATGTAGATACCATTGGTTCTTCACGTTCTGCAGATGTAGATGCCATTGGTTCTTTACGTCCTGTAGATGTAGATGCCACTGGTTCTTCACGTTCTGTAGATGTAGATGCCACTGGTTAATCACGTTCTGCAGATGTAGATGCCATTGGTTCTCCACGTTCTGCAGATGTAGATGCCATTGGTTCTTCACGTTCTGCAGATGTAGATGGCACTGATTCTTCACGTTCTGCAGATGTAGATGACACTGGTTCTTCACGTTCTGCAGATGTAGATGCCACCACCGCCATTTATTGCGCGGCGGTCGAACTTACGACTCTCGGTCCGAACGAGCAACTGGACAAACAGACGGGGTTTGTTCGTATCTCTGAAAGTTCGTAAGTTGAATGTTCATAAGCAGAGGAGTACATACATACGTCACGTGTGTGCGAGCGAAGCTCTCCGACCGCGTGTCGCTCTCTCTCTCTCTCTCTCACCACGTGCACATCATTGGTTCTTCACGTTCTGCAGATTTAGATGCCACTGATTCTTCACGTTTTGCAGATGTAGATGCCACTGGTTCTTCACGTTCTGTAGATGCCACTGGTTCTTCACGTTCTGCAGATATAGATGCCACTGGTTCTTCACGATCTGCAGATGTAGATGCCACTGGTTCTTCACGTTCTGTAGATGTAGATGCCACTGGTTCTTCACGTTTTGCAGATGTAGATGCCATTGGTTCTTCACGTTCTGCAGATTTAGATGCCACTGGTTCTTCACGTTCTGTAGATGTAGATGCCATTGGTTCTTCACGTTCTGCAGATTTAGATGCCACTGGTTCTTCACGTTTTGCAGATGTAGATGCCACTGGTTCTTCACGTTCTGTAGATGCCACTGGTTCTTCACGTTCTGCAGATATAGATACCACTGGTTCTTCACGATCTGCAGATGTAGATGCCACTGGTTCTTCACATTCTGTAGATGTAGATGCCACTGGTTCTTCACGTTTTGCAGATGTAGATGCCATTGGTTCTTCACGTTCTGCAGATTTAGATGCCACTGGTTCTTCACGTTCTGTAGATGTAGATGCCATTGGTTCTTCACGTTCTGCATATTTAGATGCCACTGGTTCTTCACGTTTTGCAGATGTAGATGCCACTGGTTCTTCATGTTCTGTAGATGCCACTGGTTCTTCACGTTCTGCAGATATAGATGCCACTGGTTCTTCACGATCTGCAGATGTAGATGCCATTGGTTCTTCACGTTCTGTAGATGTAGATGCCATTGGTTCTTCACGTTCTGCAGATGTAGATGCCATTGGTTCTTCACGTTCTGCAGATGTAGATGCCATTGGTTATTTACGTCCTGTAGATGTAGATGCCACTGGTTCTTCACGTTCTGCAGATGTAGATGCCACTGGTTAATCACGTTCTGCAGATGTAGATGCCATTGGTTCTCCACGTTCTGCAGATGTAGATGCCATTGGTTCTTCACGTTCTGCAGATGTAGATGGCACTGATTCTTCACATTCTGCAGACGTAGATGCCACTGGTTCTTCACGCTCTGCAGACGTATATACCACTGGTTCTTCACGTTCTGCAGATGTAGATGCCATTGGTTCTTCACGTTCTGCAGATGTAGATGCCACTGGTTCTTCACGTTCTGCAGATGTAGATGCCATTGGTTCTTCACGTTCTGCAGATGTAGATGCCATTGGTTCTTCACGTTCTGCAGATTTAGATGCCACTGATTCTTCACGTTTTGCAGATGTAGATGCCACTGGTTCTTCACGTTCTGTAGATGCCACTGGTTCTTCACGTTCTGCAGATATAGATGCCACTGGTTATTCACGTTCTGCAGATGTAGATGCCATTGGTTCTTCACGTTCTGCAGATTTAGATGCCACTGATTCTTCACGTTTTGCAGATGTAGATGCCACTGGTTCTTCACGTTCTGCAGATGCCACTGGTTCTTCACGTTCTGCAGATATAGATGCCACTGGTTCTTCACGATCTGCAGATGTAGATGCCACTGGTTCTTCACGTTCTGTAGATGTAGATGCCACTGGTTCTCCACGTTTTGCAGATGTAGATGCCATTGGTTCTTCACGTTCTGCAGATGTAGATGCCATTGGTTCTTCACGTTCTGCAGATTTAGATGCCACTGATTCTTCACGTTTTGCAGATGTAGATGCCACTGGTTCTTCACGTTCTGTAGATGCCACTGGTTCTTCACGTTCTGCAGATATAGATGCCACTGGTTCTTCACGATCTGCAGATGTAGATGCCACTGGTTCTTCACGTTCTGTAGATGTAGATGCCACTGGTTCTCCACGTTTTGCAGATGTAGATGCCATTGGTTCTTCACGTTCTGCAGATTTAGATGCCACTGGTTCTTCACGTTCTGTAGATGTAGATGCCATTGGTTCTTCACGTTCTGCAGATTTAGATGCCACTGGTTCTTCACGTTTTGCAGATGTAGATGCGACTGGTTCTTCACGTTATGTAGATGCCACTGGTTCTTCACGTTCTGCAGATATAGATGCCACTGGTTCTTCACGATCTGCAGATGTAGATGCCATTGGTTCTTCACGTTCTGTAGATGTAGATGCCATTGGTTCTTCACGTTCTGCAGATGTAGATGCCATTGGTTCTTCACGTTCTGCAGATGTAGATGCCATTGGTTCTTTACGTCCTGTAGATGTAGATGCCACTGGTTCTTCACGTTCTGCAGATGTAGATGCCACTGGTTAATCACGTTCTGCAGATGTAGATGCCATTGGTTCTCCACGTTCTGCAGATGTAGATGCCATTGGTTCTTCACGTTCTGCAGATGTAGATGGCACTGATTCTTCACGTTCTGCAGATGTAGATGACACTGGTTCTTCACGTTCTGCAGATGTAGATGCCACCACCGCCATTTATTGCGCGGCGGTCGAACTTACGACTCTCGGTCCGAACGAGCAACTGGACAAACAGACGGGGTTTGTTCGTATCTCTGAAAGTTCGTAAGTTGAATGTTCATAAGCAGAGGAGTACATACATACGTCACGTGTGTGCGAGCGAAGCTCTCCGACCGCGTGTCGCTCTCTCTCTCTCTCTCTCACCACGTGCACATCATTGGTTCTTCACGTTCTGCAGATTTAGATGCCACTGATTCTTCACGTTTTGCAGATGTAGATGCCACTGGTTCTTCACGTTCTGTAGATGCCACTGGTTCTTCACGTTCTGCAGATATAGATGCCACTGGTTCTTCACGATCTGCAGATGTAGATGCCACTGGTTCTTCACGTTCTGTAGATGTAGATGCCACTGGTTCTTCACGTTTTGCAGATGTAGATGCCATTGGTTCTTCACGTTCTGCAGATTTAGATGCCACTGGTTCTTCACGTTCTGTAGATGTAGATGCCATTGGTTCTTCACGTTCTGCAGATTTAGATGCCACTGGTTCTTCACGTTTTGCAGATGTAGATGCCACTGGTTCTTCACGTTCTGTAGATGCCACTGGTTCTTCACGTTCTGCAGATATAGATACCACTGGTTCTTCACGATCTGCAGATGTAGATGCCACTGGTTCTTCACATTCTGTAGATGTAGATGCCACTGGTTCTTCACGTTTTGCAGATGTAGATGCCATTGGTTCTTCACGTTCTGCAGATTTAGATGCCACTGGTTCTTCACGTTCTGTAGATGTAGATGCCATTGGTTCTTCACGTTCTGCAGATTTAGATGCCACTGGTTCTTCACGTTTTGCAGATGTAGATGCCACTGGTTCTTCATGTTCTGTAGATGCCACTGGTTCTTCACGTTCTGCAGATATAGATGCCACTGGTTCTTCACGATCTGCAGATGTAGATGCCATTGGTTCTTCACGTTCTGTAGATGTAGATGCCATTGGTTCTTCACGTTCTGCAGATGTAGATGCCATTGGTTCTTCACGTTCTGCAGATGTAGATGCCATTGGTTATTTACGTCCTGTAGATGTAGATGCCACTGGTTCTTCACGTTCTGCAGATGTAGATGCCACTGGTTAATCACGTTCTGCAGATGTAGATGCCATTGGTTCTCCACGTTCTGCAGATGTAGATGCCATTGGTTCTTCACGTTCTGCAGATGTAGATGGCACTGATTCTTCACATTCTGCAGACGTAGATGCCACTGGTTCTTCACGCTCTGCAGACGTATATACCACTGGTTCTTCACGTTCTGCAGATGTAGATGCCATTGGTTCTTCACGTTCTGCAGATGTAGATGCCACTGGTTCTTCACGTTCTGCAGATGTAGATGCCATTGGTTCTTCACGTTCTGCAGATGTAGATGCCATTGGTTCTTCACGTTCTGCAGATTTAGATGCCACTGATTCTTCACATTTTGCAGATGTAGATGCCACTGGTTCTTCACGTTCTGTAGATGCCACTGGTTCTTCACGTTCTGCAGATATAGATGCCACTGGTTATTCACGTTCTGCAGATGTAGATGCCATTGGTTCTTCACGTTCTGCAGATTTAGATGCCACTGATTCTTCACGTTTTGCAGATGTAGATGCCACTGGTTCTTCACGTTCTGCAGATGCCACTGGTTCTTCACGTTCTGCAGATATAGATGCCACTGGTTCTTCACGATCTGCAGATGTAGATGCCACTGGTTCTTCACGTTCTGTAGATGTAGATGCCACTGGTTCTCCACGTTTTGCAGATGTAGATGCCATTGGTTCTTCACGTTCTGCAGATGTAGATGCCATTGGTTCTTCACGTTCTGCAGATTTAGATGCCACTGATTCTTCACGTTTTGCAGATGTAGATGCCACTGGTTCTTCACGTTCTGTAGATGCCACTGGTTCTTCACGTTCTGCAGATATAGATGCCACTGGTTCTTCACGATCTGCAGATGTAGATGCCACTGGTTCTTCACGTTCTGTAGATGTAGATGCCACTGGTTCTCCACGTTTTGCAGATGTAGATGCCATTGGTTCTTCACGTTCTGCAGATTTAGATGCCACTGGTTCTTCACGTTCTGTAGATGTAGATGCCATTGGTTCTTCACGTTCTGCAGATTTAGATGCCACTGGTTCTTCACGTTTTGCAGATGTAGATGCGACTGGTTCTTCACGTTCTGTAGATGCCACTGGTTCTTCACGTTCTGCAGATATAGATGCCACTGGTTCTTCACGATCTGCAGATGTAGATGCCATTGGTTCTTCACGTTCTGTAGATGTAGATGCCATTGGTTCTTCACGTTCTGCAGATGTAGATGCCATTGGTTCTTCACGTTCTGCAGATGTAGATGCCATTGGTTCTTTACGTCCTGTAGATGTAGATGCCACTGGTTCTTCACGTTCTGCAGATGTAGATGCCACTGGTTAATCACGTTCTGCAGATGTAGATGCCATTGGTTCTCCACGTTCTGCAGATGTAGATGCCATTGGTTCTTCACGTTCTGCAGATGTAGATGGCACTGATTCTTCACGTTCTGCAGATGTAGATGACACTGGTTCTTCACGTTCTGCAGATGTAGATGCCACCACCGCCATTTATTGCGCGGCGGTCGAACTTACGACTCTCGGTCCGAACGGGCAACTGGACAAACAGACGGGGTTTGTTCGTATCTCTGAAAGTTCGTAAGTTGAATGTTCATAAGCAGAGGAGTACATACATACGTCACGTGTGTGCGAGCGAAGCTCTCCGACCGCGTGTCGCTCTCTCTCTCTCTCACCACGTGCACATCATTGGTTCTTCACGTTCTGCAGATTTAGATGCCACTGATTCTTCACGTTTGCAGATGTAGATGCCACTGGTTCTTCACGTTCTGTAGATGCCACTGGTTCTTCACGTTCTGCAGATATAGATGCCACTGGTTCTTCACGATCTGCAGATGTAGATGCCACTGGTTCTTCACGTTCTGTAGATGTAGATGCCACTGGTTCTTCACGTTTTGCAGATGTAGATGCCATTGGTTCTTCACGTTCTGCAGATTTAGATGCCACTGGTTCTTCACGTTCTGTAGATGTAGATGCCATTGGTTCTTCACGTTCTGCAGATTTAGATGCCACTGGTTCTTCACGTTTTGCAGATGTAGATGCCACTGGTTCTTCACGTTCTGTAGATGCCACTGGTTCTTCACGTTCTGCAGATATAGATGCCACTGGTTCTTCACGATCTGCAGATGTAGATGCCACTGGTTCTTCACATTCTGTAGATGTAGATGCCACTGGTTCTTCACGTTTTGCAGATGTAGATGCCATTGGTTCTTCACGTTCTGCAGATTTAGATGCCACTGGTTCTTCACGTTCTGTAGATGTAGATGCCATTGGTTCTTCACGTTCTGCAGATTTAGATGCCACTGGTTCTTCACGTTTTGCAGATGTAGATGCCACTGGTTCTTCACGTTCTGTAGATGCCACTGGTTCTTCACGTTCTGCAGATATAGATGCCACTGGTTCTTCACGATCTGCAGATGTAGATGCCATTGGTTCTTCACGTTCTGTAGATGTAGATGCCATTGGTTCTTCACGTTCTGCAGATGTAGATGCCATTGGTTCTTCACGTTCTGCAGATGTAGATGCCATTGGTTATTTACATCCTGTAGATGTAGATGCCACTGGTTCTTCACGTTCTGCAGATGTAGATGCCACTGGTTAATCACGTTCTGCAGATGTAGATGCCATTGGTTCTCCACGTTCTGCAGATGTAGATGCCATTGGTTCTTCACGTTCTGCAGATGTAGATGGCACTGATTCTTCACGTTCTGCAGATGTAGATGACACTGGTTCTTCACGTTCTGCAGATGTAGATGCCATTGGTTCTCCACGTTCTGCAGATGTAGATGCCATTGGTTCTTCACGTTCTGCAGATGTAGATGGCACTGATTCTTCACGTTCTGCAGATGTAGATGACACTGGTTCTTCACGTTCTGCAGATGTAGATGCCACCACCGCCATCTATTGCGCGGCGGTCGAACTTACGACTCTCGGTCCGAACGGGCAACTGGACAAACAGACGGGGTTTGTTCGTATCTCTGAAAGTTCGTAAGTTGAATGTTCATAAGCAGAGGAGTACATACATACGTCACGTGTGTGCGAGCGAAGCTCTCCGACCGCGTGTCGCTCTCTCTCTCTCTCACCACGTGTACATCATGACGAGCGTGCGCGTGCGCAGAACCGGGTGAGTCCCCACATCCATCAGCGATCCCCCCGCCGCGCCCCCCCCCCTCGCCGCCCCCACCTCCCCCGAGCCTCGCAGCGGGCGCAGCTGCACTTGGGGCGGGGGGAGGGAGCCGGTCGCCGTGGCTCCGACGTTGCCCCTGGCGATGAGGGACAGCGTCTTCTCCGCCTCCACGATACGACCACGGGAATGCAGCCACCGCGGGGACTCGGGCAGCAGCCACCTGGGGGGCGAGCGCACACACAGACACGCATACACACACAGACACGCGCACACACACATAGACATACACGCACACACACACAGACACGCGCACACACAGACACACACACGCACACACAGACACACGCACGCACACACAGACACACACACGCACACACAGACACGCGCACACACACACAGACACACGCACGCACACACAGACACACGCACGCACACACAGACACGCGCACACACACATAGACATACACGCACACACACACAGACACGCGCACACACAGACACACACACGCACACACAGACATACGCACACACAGACACACGCACGCACACACAGACACACGCACACACAGACACGCACACACACACACACGCACACACACACACATAGACATGCACACACGTACACGCATACACGCGCACACACACATACACGCGCACACACACGGACACGCGCACGCGCATACACACGCGCACACACATGCACACCCGTGTTATAGAATTGTTATAGGATTGTGTAATAGGGAATGTGTTATAGGATTGTGTTTAGGATGGTGTTAAACGATTGTGCTTTCGGGGCGGCGTGTAGTGGGGGTGGTTACAGCGAGGCGAGGAGCAGCAGCACCCCGGGGACGTTGGCCGTCAGCGTGAGCCAGCGCCAGGGCCTCACCGCCACCCCCAGCGCCGCAAACACCACCAGGCCCAGCGCAAAGAACGCGCTGTACAGGGACCCTGAGCACGCACGCACACAAACACAAACATCCCCCGTGTAACCTTCAACAGACCGTTGGGGCGAGTGCTGTTAGAAGCGAGCAGCAGCGCCTACGAAGGTCGGCACTGTGGCACACGAGGGGGTGGGTTGCCAGCACCACGCCCGGCCGCCTTTGTCTCCCCAGTGGCGATGTTTACTACACATCACACCGGCTACTCATTTGAGGCCGAGTCGACCTAGGGGAGGGCCAGGACCGGTTCAGATAATCGTCACTGGTGTTGGTGGCCGTGAGCGGGAATCGAACTCGGGTCGCCCGGTTCGTGACGCAGTGCTAACCGCTGCGCCACCGCTCCCCGTACGCACACACAAGACAAAGACCACCCGTATAGCCTTGAACAGACTGATGGGGCAAGTTCTGTTCGTGAGCACCTCTGAAGGTCGGACAGACTCCAAAATGGCGACGTTTACTACACACGGGAACCAGGTACTCATTTGTATGTGTGTATGTTCAACTTCTTTTTCACCGTATGTTGCCATCCGTGTAAATAGTAACGTAGTGTATCGTAGCGTAGTGTATGGTAGTGTAGTGATGTATATTGAGTCACTATGGCGTTAGCGCCAGAGAGAAGAGTGTAACTGTGCGTCTTAGAGCCTCTCTCTGTCACCTATGGCATACGGGACAGTCTCGGTGAACCCAAGAGGGCATGTGACCAGCAGAGGATAAGGACGGGGGCCAGAAGGGGACCGAAGGGGGGATACGTTAAGTAAAGTTGCAGAACCTTCTGGGAAGATCCCGAAGGGGGCGTGGCGGAGGGCGGAGTGAGGCCACGCCCAGGAGGATAAAAGGGCAGTCCCGGGAGCGTTCTGGGCTGTCTTCTGGAATCAACCCCCCGCGCTACGCTCTTCGGCTTATGCTCTTCGGGCTTCGGTCGTCACATTCAACATCGTGGGTCAGGCAGTAATTTACTGACCTGCCGCGTTTATATGGTAACCTTGTTGGGGTCTAGCTCCGTGGTAGTTACGACGTAGTTAGTTATCCCGAGTGTTTATGTAGTTTATGTAGTTACCCTGTTGGGGTGTATAATAAACGTGTTGCCTCCACGTTACCAGTGTCTGCCTCCGTGGGACCCACTACATTAGTGTAGTGTAGTACAAAGTAGTGTAGTGTATAGTAATGTAGTGTATAGTGTGGCGTATAGCAGTGTAGTGTACTATAGTAGTGTATAGTGTAGTGTATGTATGCCTCCCAAAAACTAACCCCTCGTCCACATCGTGGGAGGTGGTAACAGGTAAAGTACAGGATTGCCAGACAGGGCGAGGTATGGTGAGTGGTTCGACCACCTGGGCCGCTTCGGTAACCAACGAGGCCTGTCTGGACTCACCTGGAAACGCGCAGCCTAACGGGGCTCTGGTTAGCCACTTAGGCTAAGGGAGTAAACCCCGATAAAATCCCGGGTGGATACCAAGTGGCCAACGGCCCACCTAGGTGGGGCGTTGGCCACTTGACGGAGGAGCCACTGGATGTCTGGTGCTTCAGGACAAGCCTTCCACTCGTCTTGGTTTTCTGCCTCACCATTGGACCCAGGCTTGGTTCCTGGTTAAGCCCCGTGCGGTAGGCTGGTGTGCAACAGACACTGCACATAAATTAATTCACGCACTGGCACCCTCCAAGGAAACTGTACCATCGCACCACAACACTACGCACCCAAAGCCCTTGGGCGATTGGCAAGTGGCGAGCGGGGCAGGCCTATGCAGCTAAAAGCTCCTAGACACAACACAGAACCAAAACTGCGGCTATTAGAAGGTCGCCACACACTCGGCTTAGGCAGCAGTGCATCCCGGCAGCTGTAGCTGTGACTGAGCAGCCCACGAGGATCCACTCTGCTCACCCCAAATGGGGAGGGGGCTAGAAAAGGTGCCCTAAACGTAGCCTTCTGAGCAACATCCTGTCTGGCTTACCACGACCAGAGGGAGCATCAATAATTGCGGTCGAAACAAAAAGAAAAATAACCTAAACATTGCATCCTGGAATGTCAGGACCCTCACAGACAACCCAAACTCGCAACGTCCAGAGCGCCGAACAGCTCTTGTGGCGCGCGAGCCGAGACAATTTAATATCCAAATTGCCGCCCTCAGCGAAACCCGTCTGGCAGATGAAGGCCAACTGACCGAGCTAAGTGGAGGCTACACCTTCTTGTGGAAGGGTAAATCAGCGCATGAACGACACCTGCATGGCGTAGGGTTTGCAATAGACAACGTGCTCATCGGCAGCTTAGGTGAGCTTCCAATTGGTATCAATGAGCGTTTTATGCCTCTATGAAACTCGCAAAAGACCAACATGTAACCACCATTGTCACAGTCTTCAAAAAAGGTGACAAGTCAGACTTTGACAACTACAGAATCTCTCTTCGTGCCACTGCTGGAAAAATACTGGCAAGAATCCGACTAAACAGACTTCCACCACTTGCTGAAAAACTCCTTGCTGAGTCGCAGACTGGCTTTCGACCTGGCAGGGGAACCTCGGACATGATCTTCTCAGCCCGTCAACTCCAAGACAAGTGCCAGGAGCAGAGACTACCATTGTACATGGCCTTCTTTGATTTTACTAAAGCTTTTGATTCTGTTAATCGTGATGCACTATGGAGAATCCTTCTGAGACATGGCTGCCCAACAAAATGTGTTAACCCCCTCCGTCTGTTGCGTGACGGTACGAAGGCTGTCATCCTCTCTGATGGTGAAACCTCAGAGCCAATCGAAGTTAAGGTGTGAAGCAAGGCTGCGTTATTGCACCAACTCTTTTCTCCATCTTCCTGACGGGAATGGTTCATCTGACAGAGAACAGATAATACTGGTAGGAACCACCTGGTTACACCAGCCCACAGGGGATTATTGTGTCCGTCGTGCAGGGAAGGGCTGGGTGGGGAGGGAGGGGCTGGGTGGGGAGGGGAGGGTGGGGAGGGGCTGGGTGGGGAGGGAGGGGCTGGGTGGGGAGGGGAGGGTGGGGAGGGGCTGGTTGGGGAGGGGCTGGTCACCCCGTGGTGCCCTTATAAAACTCAACGTTTAACCTACTCACGCCGGCTTGTGCCCACCCTCACAGTCGGGCATATTTGCGGAATACACCACGCCGCCGTTAATCCTGGCCATTGACCGAGCAGCCCAACGTTCCTACCAGCTCCCTCCGCAGGAATGTGTTATAGGAAGGAAGAGCGCTCCAGACGGCCCCAGAAGCACGTCTGAAAGCGCCGTGCGATGCGGTCACCGTCTTTGTTCGACGGTCAGCCAAAAGCCGTTGCTGCTGCTGCTGCGAGGATGACCGGAGTTCGCATGGTGATGGGTGTGTCCTCCTTAACAAGATCAGCGAGGTATCGTGGTTCATTCGTGGCGATCACTTTGCGTGCGTGTGATGAGCGCGACCTCACAATGTGTTCGTTCGGCAACCGGAAGCCAATGCAAACTCGGCAAAAGTAACCAAAACAGTTTCCAAAGTAACCAAAAAGTTACTAAAAAGTGACCAAAAAAGTTTCCAAAGTAACGAAAAAAGTAACCAAAAATTACCAAAAAAGTAACCGAAGTAACCAATTTTTTTTTACCAAAGTAACAAACAAAGCAACTAAAGTAACCAAAAAATTACCAAAAAGGTTACCTCTAAAGTTACCAAAGTAACCAAAAAAGTTACTAAAAAAGTAACCAAAATAACCTGAAAAGTGACCAACGTAACGAAAAAAGTGACCAATTGCGAATCGTAATATTTGGCCATGGAAGCCTCCGTGTACAAATGAACGTTCACTCACCACCGCGCGGCACACGGCCGGATCTCGTAGTCTCCTGTCACGGCAGCGCACCACAGAAAAGTTTTGCACACGATGCGGTCCCCTTTGCGAACGTTTTCGCCGGCTCGTTTTACAACCGCGACGCCATTACAAATTTGCGTGTGTCGGGGGGGGGGGGGTGGCGTGGCGAGCGCGCGGTGGCTCGACTTACCGGTGCTACCCCAGTAGGCGGAGCCCACGTACTCCTGGAGGAGGACGAAGGAGACGAGGGCGGTGCCGCCGTTGGCGACGCCGACGACGAGTCGCGACGCGCAGAACCAGCGCCACGTGGGCGACAGCGCCGACGCGAGGCCGCCCAAGACATCCACCAGCAGCCCTGCGCCCACGACGCCGCCACAAAGACGAAGATCCCCTTAGCAGACTGTTGGGGGCAAGTGCTGTAAGCGAGTAGCAACTACGAAGGCCGGCATGGCAAATACAAAGACAAAGATACCCCGTGTAGCTTTAACAGACGGTTGGGGTCAAGTGCTGTCTAGCAAGCAGAACCTAGGAAGGCTGGCACGGCAAAAAAAAACACAAACATCCCCCGTGTAGCCGTAACAGACTGTGTGGGTCAAGTGCTGTGAGAGAGTAGCAACTACGAAGGCTGGCAGGACAAAAAAAGATGAAGATACCCCGTGTAGCCTTAAAGAGTTAAAGGCTATCCGGGGGTACGTTTATCTCGTGGTGGCGAGATGTTAACTCCATTGCCCGGTATACAGGAGGTCGTGGGTTCGATCTCAACCCTGACTCCTGCATATTTGTAGATTTAATTTCTCTCTCCCCGTGATCGCGTGGATTTTTCTCCGGCTCCTCCGGTTTTTCCCCTCCATGTTTAGAAACATACATTAATCGAGTCTTTGGCTGCTCCATTGGAACCTCATTTGCCAGTAAAAAATATAATAGTTTTTTTACCCTTCTATCTGGCAACAAAACTGACACCTTTTTTACAAGGAGTCATATTTGCATAGATTATCAGAGTTATGTTTTTGTTTGCATTATGGCTGCAGGTATTGTGGTCTATGCAAACATGAAAAAGGTGTCAGTTTTGTTGCCAGATAGAAGGGTAAAAAAACAATTATCTTTGGCTGCTATAAATATACACACGACAATAACCAACTTTGTTGAGCCGCCATTTGTGGCCAGGTCGCTTCTGAAATAGATCCTGGTAGCTCAGTGGGCCTTACCTGGTAAAATGAAAAGAGTTCAGTTCATAGTTTACAGAGCGACACGCAAACTCCAAATAAACACGCATCGTCAGGCGAGGTAGTTAACATCTCATCCAACCAAAGACAAAGATCCCCCGCATAGCCTTAACAAACTGTCGGGGGGGGGGGAGCAAGAGGTGTTAGCGAGCAGAACGCGACGTTTCTGTGCGTATTCTGTACCGATGAGGTAGACGCGCCTCCTGCCGTACAGGTCGGAGCACTGGCCAAAGACGAGGGAGCCGAGCAGCACCCCGCAGAAGTAGAGCGAGGACGCCAGCCCCACCAGGATGGCAGCGTCATCTCCCAGAGCCCACTGCACACAAACACATACGCACGCACGTACACATACACACACCACCTCTATAAACACACACACGTACATATACACACCACCTCTATACACACACACACACGTACATACACACACCACCTCTATACACATACACACACGTACATACACACACCACCTCTATAAACACACACACACGTACATATACACACCACCTCTATAAACAACAAAGATCCCCCATATAGCCTTAACAGACTTTAGGGGCAAGTGCTGTTATCGAGCACCTATGAAGGCCGGAACGGTACACGAGGGGGTGGGTGGCCAGCACCACGCCCGACCGCCTTTGTCTCCCTAGTGACGATGTTTACACACCGCACCAGGTACTCATTTGAAGCCGAGTCGACCTAGGGGAGGCCCAAAACCGGTTCAGATAATCGTCACTGGTGTTGGCCGTGAGCAGGAATCGAACCCGTGTCGCCGGGTTCATAGCGCATCGCACTAACCACTACACTACCGCTCCGCACACCTCTATAAACACACACACACACACGTACATTTTTTTTCGATTTAAAGCTTTCGTGACTGCAGGGATTCATCTTCTTGGTTCTTTCGGTAAAGTCACGTAGAAGGGAAGTAATAAAATAATAAAAATAAAACAACATTTTTTTTTATTATTTTTATTATTTTATTACTTCCCTTCTACGTGACTTTACCGAAAGAACCAAGAAGACACACGTACATATACACACCACCTCTATAAACACCAACCAACCAACCGCCATTCGCCACTAAGTGGCGGTGACGTCACCACGACGCTTGTGCCAGGCCATGTGCACCTTGAGGCCACGTGAAGTGTCGAACGCCCGCTGGCAGGAGGTCACGGGGCAGACCCAGGTGCCAAGGGTCGATTGACTGAGATGACTGGCTGATGCACCACCCGTGCCCCCTACTGTGTGGTTGGCCAGCACCACGCACGGCCGCCTTTACGTCTCTAGCGGCGATGTTTACACGTAGCACCGGGTACTCATTTGAGGCCGAGTCGACCTAGGGGAAGCCCAGGACCGGTACGGATAATCGTCACTGGTGTTGGCTGTGAGCACGAATCGAACTTGGGTTCATAGGGCAGCACGCTAACCGCTTCACTGCCGCTCCCCACACACCACGATGCAATAAGATAAAAAAACATCTCTCATGCAATCTCCGTGGATTATTAAGAATACAGACAATTGTTTTGTTTCCTTTATATATTGTAAAAAAAAATATGTTTCGATTTAAAGCTTTCGTGACTGCAGGGATTCATCTTCTCGGCTGCTTGCGTTGTGGCCGAAACGTCGTGAGAATTATTTTATTATGTTTTTATTTTTATTATTTTATTACTTCCCTTCTACGTGACTTTATCGAAAGAACCAAGAAAACAAAATATGGTTTAGTTTCACAGTGGTACCTCGGTATACGTCGTTAATTCGTTCCAGAAGGTAGGACTTATACCGAAAATGACGTATACCAAACTAATTTTTCCCATAAGAAATAAACGGAAAGGAAACAATCCGTTCCAGAGTATAAGAAATGATATTTTGTATGACATTATACATTAATGGTGTTGTTTAAAATAATTTAGACACTACTTATTACTAAAATGCATACATAAATTAAAATAAATTGAAATAAAAATAAAAAGTAACATCACTTTACCTTGCTGAGAGGAGTTGATAGCCTACGAGGATGGTGGTGAGGGAGGGGAGGAGTGGTGAACGGGGTCTACGCGGTGACTCATCCCGACCCATACAAGTTCTAGCAAGTACGTCATATCCCAAGCAAGACGTCGTATCCCAAGATGTGTTTTTCTCGTCAAAACACGACGTATACCAAATTCGACGTATTCCAAAGCGGTGGTATACCGAGGTATAACTGTATTTGTACATATTTGTGAAGCGATGCGTTTACCTTCACTAAACTGTTTTTGTAACCCTCTGACCCCCGTGCCCCTGCTGGACATCTGCAGTCTAAACAAAGATTCTGATTCTTAACTCGCAACACTGCGCCGCCGCCGCCACTGCCGCACAGGATTCACTCGCTCTGCGAGAGAGAGGACGACTCAAGAGGCGCCCGGAGGAGGAACCACGGACGACCAGTGCAGCATCTACACATGTTGAACTTCTTTCACATCATACGTAGCCAACCGTGCGTGCTAATCCCGGGGTATGTTGGAGAGCAAATCCACAACATTTACAGATCCACAACAGGCGTGTCCCTGAGGCGTGCCCCTGAGGCTTGCCGCTGAGCTGTGTCGCGTTACCTCTGTGACTACAGAAGAGCCGTTGGCGGCTGGTAAGGGAGGCGAGGTCCTGCGGGAGGCCTCCGGGGAGACGGCGCGTGGGCGCGTGGGGCCAGCGGACGGGATTTGTCCAATGAGGATAATCAGCACAGCCTGGAACGCCAAGTACACCTGCGGAGGGACACGGAGATTCCCAACACCGCGTTACCTCGCCCGCTGGTCTCGTCGAGGGGCGTTGAACCATCGCCACGCGAACTCCGGTCATCACTCGCAGCGACGGCGGTTCTTTTGACTGGCCGTGAAACAAAGACACATTCGTCGCACGCTTTCAGAAGCGCATCGGCGGCCGTCTGGAACACTCTTTCCTTCCGATATTAGGGGCCGTTCATAAATGACGTCACGCAATTTTGGACGATTTTTGACCCCCCCCCCCCCCCTCGTCACACGGCGTCACAAAAAGTCAGACCCCTCCCTCAAATATGAGGTCACAAAGCTCTGCCCCCCCCCCCCCAAAAAAAAAACATGCTTCAAATCGCTTTAAACTATTGTCATTGTAGTGCGTATTTAATGTGCCGCTGCACTCTGATGTTGTAGGAGAAAACATTTATTAAAAAGTCTATTTAATTAAGTAGAACGTGTTGTCTATATTTATTTCAAGTTGTGCATTTTGATGTGACGTCACAATTCACAAACCCCACCCCCCCTCGTCACACATCGTCACAAATGTCTGCCCCCCCCCCCCCCCAGGTGCGTGACGTCATTTATGGACGGCCCCTTAGGAAGCCGCTGGGAGCTATGCACTTTTAAATCTAAATTGACAAATTCATTTCTATTTAACTCCTTAGTGTGTTTAGTTTGTTGTTCATCTTCCGCACCTCTTATTATCACGATTGGCTACGTACGGTGCGAAAGACGTTCAACATACATACGTATTTACAATAGCTTGGGACAATGGTTCGTGTTATTGCGCTGTAGCCATAGCACTCTCATTCTGTATGTACGTATGTTGAAATTCTTTCGCACTGTACATCGCAAAACCATGCTTATTGGAAGTGCCAATGCTATCAACTATTTTTTTTCAGAAGCGACCTGGCCACAAATGATAGCTCAACGAAGTAGTTTCTCACGTGTAGATTGATCGCAGCCAAACACTCTAAACGCACGTTTCTAAATGTGGAGGGAATATCCGGCAGACCCGGAGAAAAATCCACGCGACCAGAGGGGGAGAAGAGACACCGCAAACTCCCAACGTACAGCAGGCGTCACGGTTGGGATCGAACCCATGACCTCCTGCGTACCAGGCAACGGAGTTAACATCTCGCCACGAAGTAACCGGTCCCGACAACTTCGCTCGCTCATTTCTTCCACCCTGCGTGGAGGACTCGGGACGACCAGACACTGGCTGTTTTTTAATCTCATCGACACCGTGTTCAACCGTCACGCTGCAGGTCACAGCAACTCACCGACTTGCTCATCCCAGTCCTCGGCTCACCATGGGTGGAGTGAATCGGTGATTGAAGCTCACGCGAACGCTAACCACGGTAGTAGCAGTAGTAGCGATAGAAGAGTGACAAGGTGATTGACCGCCGGTGAGTGAGCGAGAGACTGGAGGGTGAATCGGTGAGTGCTGGGCTCACCACTTAAATCAATTGCTGCTTTACGCTGAATTCCATCCGGCACAGCGAGTTAGAAACTGGGTGCCGAAGTGGCGAGATGTTAACTACCTCGCCTGGTACGCAGGAGGTCGTGGGTTCGATCTAGACCCTGACGCCTGCTGCTGTATATTTGGAGTTTGCTGCGTCTTTCTCCCCATTGGTCGCGTGGATTTTTCTCCGGGTCCTCCGGTTTTTCCCCTCCACATTTAGAATCAACGTCACCACGCGTTTAGAGTCTTTGGCTACTGCTATAAATTTCCACGTGATGATGACAAGTCACTCTCTGTTGAGCTATCGTTTGTGATGGCCGGGTCCGCTTCTGAAAAAGAGCTACAAAAGAGCTCAGCTGGGCCTTACCTGGTAAAAGAAAAAATAAATCGTTTGTTTCTTAATGATTAACCTGATGGAGGTGGGGTAGAGTTCGGAGGTGTAAAATATAAAGGTGTATCAAGATGATCACGACGGATGACAGTGAGGGTGATGATAACGATGCCGATGATGACGATGATGATGACGACGATGACGACAATGACGGCGATGACAACGATGATGATAACGATGATGATGATGATGATGACGATGATGACGATAACGATGATGACGATGACGATGATAACGATGATGACGATGACGACGATGATGATGATGATGACGACGATGATGACGACGATGATGACGATTACGATGATAACGATGATGACGATGACAATGACGACGGCTATGACAACGATGATGACGATGATAACGATGATGCTGATGATGACGATAACGATGACGACGATGCCGATGACGACGATGATGGCGATGACAACGATAATGATAACGATGACGACGATGACGGCGATGATTGTGGGAGCCACGCCGCTGTCGTCCTGGCACCTGCACGAGCAGCAGCAGGCCACAGCGACGGCGCTGGTAGGGACCGCAGGCGCCAACGACCACGAAAGCTTCCTCCAGATCCATCGGCCCATCACCACCGCGGTGGGGCCTACGCACACACGCAGAGCCGACTCACGCGTTGAGTAAAGAATAGGGACTGTGGGCTTGAATAAAGGATGGTGTATGTGTGTTCCATCACCACGGCGCCTACGCACAAGCGCGGCACAGCCGACTCATAAGTTGAATGAAGGATCGAGACTGTGGGGCTGAATAAAGGTTGTTTATTGTGGTCCAATAAAAGATGGTGACTGTGGTTGAATCAAGGATGAATAATCATACTGTGTCAACCCACACGGTTTACCCCGTATTCTTGTTTCAGAGAAATAGAGTTTTCAGGTCCATACGGCGTACAGCCGTTTCAATGATGAGCAAAAAAGATGTCTATTTGTTCGTGTTTCTCCCTTGCGATGGGACTTTGTAAGATGAACGTTGAGATGTATAAGGGCACGGGGTGACCAATAAGGTCTGAATTGGTCTGTAATTAGGTAGGGCACTGATTAGGGGTTGACAGGTATGGTTTCTCCAAATTACCTGTTCCACCAGTAGCAGAGGTGTTTCAGTAAAATATTTGTGCCCTCAGGGGGGATTAATATCGTGCCACTGTGGCTAGAATGTTAACTACCTCGTCTGGTATGCAGGAGGGCATGGCTTCAAACCCGACCCTGACGCCTGCTGTATATTGGGAGTTTGCGTGTCTCTCTCTCACCATCATCATCAGGGTGACAAGGAGATGTTAACTACCTCGCCTGGTATACAGGAGGTCGTGGCTTCGATCCCGACCCTGACGCCTGCTGCTGTGTATTTGTGTGTCTCTCTCTTCCCGTGGTCACGTGGATTTTTTCTCCGGATCCTCCGGTTATTCGCTCCACATTTAGGATCAGCGTCAGGCGTTTAGAGTTATCTGGCTGCTGTAAATCTTCACGTTATAAGCCACTTCACTGAGCTTGCTATCGTTTGTGATTGGCAGGTCGCTTCTGAAAAAGATGTACATAGTTAACTCAGTGGAGGGCTTACCTGGTAACATTTTAAAAAGATTAAGTTTACATTCCCAGACATCTGTGAAAAAAGTAGCTTTATAGCTCATCGGATTCCTCTGGTATAAACAAATATTACCATTCTGAAAATATTTTAAAAACTTTTCAATCAATGCTGGCGCAAATGTCAGATGTCTGCAAGGACCCTCTCTCTGTAAGATATCAAATGATGGCCACTTGTTCTATATCCAAACATCTCACCACTGTCTGTCCATTTGCTTCATTGCTGCACTCAGGTTTGTCAAGCGTGTGTACTGTGTGTGTACTGTGTGTGTGTGTACTGTGTGTGTGTATACTGTGTGTATGTACTATGTGCACTGTGTGTGTATACTGTGTGTGTATACTGTGTGTGTACTGTGTGTGTGTACTGTGTGTGTGTAAGTGTGTGTGTACTGTGTGTGTACACTGTGTGTGTGTATACTGTGTGTGTGTGTGCTATGTGTCTGTGTGTGTACTGTGTGTGTGTACTGTGTGCACTGTGTGTACTGTGTGTGTGTACTGTGTGTGTACTGTGTGTGTGTACTGTGTGTGTGTAAGTGTGTGTGTGTAAGTGTGTGTGTGTGTACTGTGTGTGTGTAAGTGTGTGTGTGTACTGTGTGTCTATGTGTGTGTACTATGTGTATGGAGCGGTGGTGCAGCGGTTAGCGCTACGAACCCGGCGACCCCGAGTTCGACTCCAGCTCACGGCCAACAACACCCAGTGACGATTATCTGAACCGGTCCTTGGGCCTCCCCTAGGTAGACTCAGCCTCAAATAAGTACCCGGTGCGTAAACATCACCGCTGGGGAGACAAAGGCGGTGGTGCTGGCCACCCACCCCCTCGTGTGCCGCTGCTACTCGCTGAAAGCACTTGCCCCTACAATGTTAAGGCTACACGGGGGATCTGTGTCCTGTAGAAGTACTGTAGAAGTACTGTAGAAGTACTGTGTGCTACATGCAGTCCATAGATACTGCAAGAGGCGTGTAAACTGCAATGCAGCCAAGACTTTGCGTGGGAATCCTTCATACCCACTGCGTGTAATACCATGGCAAGTACCGTAATGTAGCGGGTTTATACACCAATGCAGTCTGTATATATATAGACTGTATGTATAGACTGTATATATAGACTGTGTATAGACTGCACATAGACTGCGCAACAACAAAAACTCCATACAAAGTTACGCGCACGGCGTTTGAAACTCGCGTAAAGTCTCCGCGGCGTGCACGCGTGTGTTGGTGTGTTGGTGTGGTGGTGTGTTGGTGTGGTGGTGTGGTGGTGTGTTGGTGTGGTGGTGTGTTGGTGTGGTGGTGTGTTGGTGTGGTGGTGTGGTGGTGTGTTGGTGTGTTGGTTTGGTGGTGTGTTGGTGTGTTGGTGTGGTGGTGTGTTGGTGTGGTGGTGTGTTGGTGTGGTGGTGTGGTGGTGTGTTGGTGTGTTGGTTGGTGGTGTGTTGGTGTGTTGGTGTGGTGGTGTGTTGGTGTGTTGGTGTGGTGGTGTGTTGGTGTGTTGGTGTGTTGGTGTGGTGGTGTGGTGGTGTGTGGTGTGTTGGTGTGGTGGTGTGGTGGTGTGTTGGTGTGGTGGTGTGTTGGTGTGGTGGTGTGTTGGTGTGGTGGTGTGGTGGTGTGTTGGTGTGTTGGTTTGGTGGTGTGTTGGTGTGGTGGTGGTGTGTTGGTGTGGTGGTTGTGTTGGTGTGTGGTGTGGTGGTGTGTTGGTGTGTTGGTTTGGTGGTGTGTTGGTGTGTTGGTGTGGTGGTGTGTTGGTGTGTTGGTGTGGTGGTGTGTTGGTGTGTTGGTGTGTTGGTGTGGTGGTGTGGTGGTGTGGTGGTGTGTTTGGTGTGGTGGTGTGGTGTGTGTTGTGTGTTTGGTGTGGTGGTGTGGTGGTGTGGTGGTGTGTTGGTGTGGTGGTGTGTTGGTGTATTGGTGTGGTGGTGTGGTGGTGTGTTGGTGTGGTGGTGTGTTGGTGTGGTGGTGTGTTGGTGTGGTGGTGTGGCATGGCGTGGTGGTGTGGTGGTGTGTTGGTGGTGTTGGTGTGGTGGTGTGTTGGTGTGGTGGTGTATTGGTGTGGTGGTGTGTTGGTGTGGTGGTGTGGTGGTGTGTTGGGGTGGTGTGTTGGTGTGGTGGTGTGTTGGTGTGGTGGTGTGTGGTGTGTTGGTGTGGTGGTGTGGTTGGTGTGGTGGTGTGTTGGTGTGTTGGTGTGGTGGTGTGGGTGTGTGTGGTGGTGGTGTGTTGGTGTGGTGGTGTGGTGTGTGGTGGTGTGTGGTGTGTTGGGTGGTGGTGTGGTGGTGTGTTGGTGTGGTGTGGTTGGTGTATTGGTGTGGTGGTGTGGTGGTGTGTTGGTGTGGTGTGTTGGTGTGTGGTGTGTGTGGTGTGGTGGTGTGGTGGTGTGTTGGTGTGGTGGTGTGTTGGTGTGGTGGTGTGTTGGTGTGGTGGTGTGTTGTGGTGTGGTGGTGGTGGTGTTGGTGTGGTGGTGTGTTGGGGTGGTGCGGTGGTGGTGTGGTGGTGTGCTGGTGTGGTGGCGTGGTGGTGTGTTGTGTGTTGGTGTGGTGGTGTGGTGTGGTGGTCTGTTGGGTATTGGTGTGGTGGTGTGTGTATGGTGGTGTATGGTGTGTGGTGTGGTGGTGTGTTGGTGGTGGTGTGTTGGTGTGGTGGTGTGGTGGGTGTTGTGTGGTGGTGTGTGTGTGTTGTGTGGTGGTGTGTGTGTGGCATGGCGTGGTGGGTGTTGTGGGTGGTGTGGTGGTGGTGTGTGGTGTGGGGTGTGTGGTGTGGTGGTGTGTGGGTGGTGGTGTGGTGTGTGTGGTGTGGTGGGGTGTGTTTGTGGTGGTGGTTGTGTGTGTGGTGTGTTGGTGTGTTGGTGTTGGGTGGTGTTGTGTGTTGGTGTGGTGGTGTGGTGGTGTGTTGGTGTGTTGGTGTGATGTGGTGGTGTGGTGGTGTGTTGGTGTGTTGTGTGGTGGTGTGGTGGTGTGTTGGTGTGTTGTGTGGTGGTGTGTTGGTGTGGTGGTCTGGTGGTTGGTGGGTGTGTTGGTGTGGTGTGTTGGTGTGTGGTGTGTTGGTGTGGTGGTGTGTTGGTGTGTTGGTGTGGTGGTGTGGTGGTGTATTGGTGGTGGTGTGGTGGTGTGTTGGTGTGGTGGTGTGTTGGTGTGTTGGTGTGGTGGTGTGTTGGTGTATTGGTAGGGGGTGTGTGGTGGTGTGGTGGTGTGGTGGTGTGGTGGTGTGGTGGTTGTGTGGGGTGGTGGTGTGGTGTGTGTTGGTTGGTGTGGTGGTGTGGTGGTGTGGTGGTGTTGGTGTGTTGGTGTGGTGGTGTGGTTGGTGTGTTGGTGTGTTGGTGTGGTGGTGTGGTGGTGTGGTGGTGTGGTGGTGTGGTGTGGGTGGTGTGGTGGTGTGGTGGTGTGTTGGTGTATTGGTGTGTTGGTGTGGTGATGTGTTGGTGTGTTGGTGTGGTGATGTGGTGGTGTGGTGGTGTGTTGGTGTGGTGGTGTGTTGGTGTGTTGGTGTGTTGGTGTGGTGGTGTGTTGGTGTGGTGATGTGTTGGTGTGTTGGTGTGGTGATGTGGTGGTGTGTTGGTGTGTTGGGGTGGTGGTGTGTTGGTGTGGTGGTGTGTTGGTGTATTGGTGTGTTGGTGTATTGGTGTGTTGGTGTGTTGGTGTGGTGGTGTGGTGTGGTGGTGTGTTGGTGTATTGGTGTGGTGGTGGTGGTGGTTTGGTGGTGTGGCATGGCGTGGTGTGTGCACTGCTCACAGACCGTACAGACCGCAGCGCACGTGTCGTTAGGCGTACCCTCTCTGCAGACTTTCTGTCCCCTGTGTAGTATCTCTGTAGTATCTGTGTAGACTGTGTAGTATCTATGTAGACTGTGTGTAGACTGTGTAGACTGTGTGTAGACTATGTGTAGACTCTCTGTAGACTGTGTGTAGACTGTGTGTAGTACCCTCTCTGTGGACTGTGTGTAGACTGTGTGTAGACTGTGTGTAGTATCTGTGTAGACTGTGTGTAGACTGTGTGTAGTACCCTCTCTGTGGACTGTGTGTAGACTGTGTGT